GTTTTTTTTTTTTTTTTTTTTTTGGAAATTTTAAAAAAACCAAAAAAACCCCGGGGGGAAAAAAAAAAAAGGGGGGGGTTTTTTTTTAAAAATTTTTTGGGGTTTTTTTTTAAAATAAATTTTTAAAAAAAATTTTTTTTTTTCCTTTTTTTGTTTTAAAATTTTTTTAGGGAAAATTTTTTTTTTCCTTTTTTTTTTTTTTTTTTTTTTCCAAATTTTTTTTAAAAAATTTTTTATTGGGAAGGGGAAAAAAAACCCCCAAAAAAATTTTTTTCCCCAAAAAAGGGGGGGGTTTTTTTGGGGGGAAAAAAAAAATTTTTTTTTTTTTTAAAAAAATTTTTTTCCCCCTTTTTTTAAAAAATTTTTTTTACTAAAATTTAAAAAAATTTTTTTTTTTTTTTAAATTTTTTTCTTTTAAAAAATTTTTTTTTAAATTTTTTTTTTTTTAAAAAAATTTTTTTTTTTTCCCCCTTTTTTCTTTTTTTAAAAAAAACCCCCCCTTTTTTTTTAAAAATTTTTTTTTTTTTTTAAATTTTTTTTTTTAAATTTTAAATTTATTTTTCCCTTTTTTAAAAAAATTTTTCCCCGTTTCCCCCCCCCAAAAATTTTTTTAATTTTAAAAATTTTTTTTTTTTTTTTGTTTAAATTTTTTTTTAAAAAATTTTTTTTTTATTTTTTTTTAAATTTTTTTAAAATTTTTTTAAAATTTTTTTTTTTTGGGGCCCCAAATTTTTTTTTTTAAATTTTTTTTTTTTTTCTTTTTTTTTTTCCTTTTTTTTTTTTAAAATTTTTTTTTTTTTTTCCCTTTTTTTAAATTTTTGGGGTTTTTTTTTTTTTTTTTTTCTTTTTTTAAAAAATTTTCCTTTTTTTTTAAAATTAAAATCTTTTTCCTTTTTTAAAAAAAATTAAATTTTTTTAAAATTAAAAAAATTAATTTAAAAAATTTTTTTAAAAAATTTTTTTTTTAATTTTAAAATTTTTTTTTTAAAAAATTTTTTTTTTCTCCAAAAAAATTTTAAAAAAAAATTTTTAAATTTTTTTTTTAAAATTTTTTTTTTTTAAAAACCCCCTTTTTTTTTTTTTTATTTTATAATTTTAAATTTTTAAAAAAAAATTTTTTTAAAAAATTTCCTTTAAATTTTTCCCCCCTTTTTTTAACCCCCCTTTTTTTTTTTTTAAAAAATTTTTTTTTTTTTTTTCCTTTTTTTCTTTTAAAAAAAATTTTTTTAATTTTTTTAAAAAATTTTTTTTTTTTTTTTTTTTTTTTAAAAAAAAATTTTTTTTTTTTAATTTAAAAAATTTTAAAAAAAAAAAATTTTTCCCTTTTTTTTCCAAACCCCTTATTTTAAATTTTTTTTTTTTCAAACAGTTACTGTTTTTTAAAAAAGAACCCAAAAAACCCCCAACCCCAAAAAAAAACCAACCAAAAAAAAAAAAAAATTTTAAAAAATTTTTTTCCTTTTTCCCAACCTTCCCTTTTTCCCCCAAAAACCTAAAATAACCCGGGGGGCCCCCAAAAAATTTTTTTGGGCCCCCCAAAAAAAGGGGGGCCCCGGGGGAAAAAAAAAATAAACCAATAAAAAAAAAAAGGGGGAAAAAAAAGGGAATTAAAAAAAAAAAAAATTAAAAAAAAAACCCCCCAAAAAATTCCCCAAATTTTCCCCCCAAAAAAAAAAAAAAAAAAGGGGTTAAAAAGATTCCCCCCAAAAAAAAAACTTTTTTTTTAAAAAAAAATTTTTTTCCCCCAAAAAAAAAAGGGGGCCCCCAAAAAAACCCCCCAAAAAAAAAAAAATTTTTAAAAAAACCCCCCCCCCCAAAAAAAAAATTTTTTTTTAAAGGCCAAAAAACCCAAATTTTTTAAAAAAATTTTTTTTTAAAAAAAAAAAAATCCCCCCTTTTTAAAACCCCCTTTTTAAAAAAAAAAAAAAAAAACAAAAAAAAATTTTTAAAAAATTTTTTAAAAATTTTAAAAAAAAATTTTTTTTAAAAAAAAAAAAAAAAAAAAAAATTAAAAAATAAAAAAAAACCCCCCCCCCCCCAACCCCCCTTTTAAAAAACCCCCTTTAAAAAAAAAAAAAAACCCAAAAAAAAAAAAAAAGGGGGGAAAAAAAACCCCAAAAAAAACCCAAAAAATTTTTGGGGGAAAAAAAAAAAAATTTAAAAAAAAAAAATCCAATTAAATTTTTTAAAAAAAAATTAAGGGCCCCAAAAAAATTTTAAAAAAAAACCCCAAAAACCAAAAAAAAAAAAAAAGATTTTCCCCCCAAAAAAAATTTAAAAAAAAAATTTTTTTTTCCCCCCAAAAAAACCCCTTGGAATTAAAAAACCCCCTTTTCCCCCCAAAAAAAAACCCCCCCCCCCCCCAAAAACCCAAAAAAACCCCCGGGGGTTTTTTCCCCCAAAAAAAAAAGGGGAAAAAAAAAAAAATTTTTTTTTAAAAAAAAAAAACCCCCCCCCCCCCAAAAAAAAAAACCCCCCCAAATTTTTAAAAAAAAAAAAAAAAAAAAATTAAAAAAACCCCCCCCAAAAAAAAAAAATTTTATTTTCCCCCCCCTTTTAAAAAAAAAATTTAACCCAAAAATTTTTTCCCAAAAATTCCCCCCCTTTCCCCCCCAAAAAAAAACCCCAAAAAAAAAAAAATTTTAAAATTTTTTAAAAAAAAAAGCTTTTAAAAAAAAAAAAATTTTTTTTTTAAAAAAAAAACCCTTTTTTTTGGGGGGGGGCCCCCCCAAAAAAAATTTTTTCCCCAAAAAAAACCCCCCCCCTTGGGGCCCCCCAAAAAAAATTTGGGACCCCAAAAGGGGGTTTTCCCCCCCTTTTTTTTTTTAAAAAAAAATTCCCCTTTTTTCCCCTTTTTAAAAACCAAAAAAATTTTTCCCCCCCCCCCTTTTCCCCTTTTAAAAATTTTTTCCCCCCCCTTAAAAAAAAAAAACCCCCAAAAGAAAAACCCACCTTTTGGGGGAAAAAAAAATTTTAAATTTAAAAAAAAAATTTTTTTGGGTAAAAAAAAAAATTCCCCAAAAAACCCCAAATTTAAAAAAAACCAAACCCCCCCAAAAAAAAAAAAGGGCCCCAAAAAATTTTTTAAAAAAAAACCCCCCCTTTTTTTTTTTCCCCTTTTTTTTCCCCCGGTTTGGGCCCCCCCCCCCTTTTTCCCCCTTTTAAAATTAATTTTTAAAAAAGGGCCCCAAAAAAACCCCCCCCCAAAAAAACCCCCCCCCCCCCCTTTTAAAAAAAAAAAACCCCCCAAAAAAAAAAAATTTTTTTTTTTAAAAAATTTTTTCCCCAAAAAACCCCCCCCAAAATTCCCTTTAAAAAGGAACAATTAACCCAAAAATTCCAAACCCCCCCCTTTTTTTTTTTCCCCCCAAAAAAAATTAAAAAAAAACCCCCTTTTTTTTTTTTTCCTTAAAAAAAAAAACTTTTTTAAAAAAAAATTTTTTTAAAAAACCTTTCCCTTAAAAAAAAAAAAAATTTTTTTTTTAAATTTTTCAAAATTTTTTTACCCTTTTCCCCCAAAAAAAAAACTTCCCCTTTTTTTTTTTTAAAAAAAACCCCCCCAAAAACCCCCCAAATTTTAAAAAAAGGCCCCCCCAAAATTTTTTTTTTTTTACTTATTTTTTTATTTTTTTAAAGGGTTTTCCAAAAAAAAAAGAATTTTTTTTTTTTTTAAAGGGTTTTTTTTTGGGGGGGGGTTTTTAAAATTTTTTTTAATTTTTTTTTTAAAAAAATTTTTTTTAAAAAAATTTTTTTTTTTTTTTTAAAAAAAAATTTTTTAAAAATTTTTTCTTTTTAAAAAAAAAAATTTTTTTTTAAAAAAAAAATAAAAACCCCAAAACCCCCGGGGGTTTTTTCCCCCCCCCAAAATTTTTTTGGGGAAAACCCCAAATTTTTAAAAAAAAACTTTAAAAAACCAAAAATTTTTAAAAAAAAAATAATTTTTCCCTACTCACCATACAAAACTCCATACTCTTATTGCACCTTTTACATCATAAACCTTAATCTGTTTTTAACCCCCCTCAAAATCTTCCTTCCCAACCTCAACAAAAACACATGACCTTAAACAAGGCACAGATCACTCTTTGATGTTCCTTGTGCCCTTTCTCACGCTATGCAAAACTCAATGCACATAAAAGGCCCTAAAATCTGGAATTCATTACCTGAAAAATATAAAAGAAACACTACTGTTTATAAATTCAAGTCTCTTCTCAAAGATCACTTACTCACTCAAACCAAATAAATACTGAATAACTGAACCTTTTAAATTGTATACCCTATATGTTACTCAAAATTTTATATCACACAAATGTTAAACCCTAGGACCCAATCTAACTATTATTTTTTTAAATACACTACTCTAACAGAATACTCCATTCGACTGAATGTACAACAATGCAAGCAACCATATGACCTGTCTTTGTAATACTCATTTGTGCTTTATAGTTATCTGTTTACAATAATGTTTTATCACTGATTTCATCATTGCTTAGTTAATCTTAAGTTAATTTTAAGCCAGCCCGTAATGCTATGCATATAAGTGGCTTTGGCATGCTGCTCTTACCTGTATTTTTTGTACCTCTGTTTGTATGCTTAAATTACTAAATAAATAAATAAATAAAAGTATAATACCTTGTCTTAGCTAACCTGCATGAGAATAAAAATTAGCACACCAGCAGGCCTGCTGGTGTGCCACGAGTTCTTGCATTATGCCCACCAGGGGCTAATAGGGCTGTCCGGGAAAAGTCCTCAAATATAACTTCGGAAACATCTATGAGCTATTATATGCTAAAAACTTGCGCACTAAAATATATTTTGTCACGTGAATGTTTACAAGCAGACACCTCCCACTATATTACCCAACACATCTCACAAATACCCACTATTTATCTTAAAATCAGCACAATACCTGTAATACAACATGATCTATTACAAGTAAGCTAAAAAAGCCCACAAAAGATGAAGAGAAACTCGATGTTAAGTGATAAAAGTGAGGAACTTACGATCGTCAGTGTTCACCTCTACAAGTTTACCTCATAAAGGAGGAAGAGAGGGAGGGAGAGATGGGGAGGAGGGAGCGGGAGGGGGGAACATCCATGAAGGGAGAAATAGACTGAAGCTCGCGATGCGTAATCAAATCAAATCAAATCAAAGTTTATTCTCTATAAGGATTACAATGCGGGGTTTACAGATTTTGGTTATTGTGTGGTTTACATGTAATAAAATACTAATTACAGAGGGGGTCACTAGAACACCTAGCAAGGCTAGGCATTTCGGGCAAACTTCCATTAATTCTTAACCCTAAATTATTGCAAATTGTGGAGTACGTTGACTAAATACTAAGTGACTGAATACTAGTTTGTGAGTTTAGCAATGTGAATGCTTTTGTTTTGGCACAATACATAGTTTCTATATTGGACTATCACAGGCTAACTTGTGACTAGTTAGGAATCTTTATTTTAAGATTAAGATACGTATTTCTGTGCTTATAGTGAAATGGGTGAGTGAGCGAGTGTAAGTGTGAACCACCAGGTGGTTTTTATGTAGTTAGTTGACGGGGTGTATCAGGGAGATAAGTAAGTAAATAAGTAAGTTTATTCAGGTATAGAATTGTAATTATTCAAGTATAGAATTATAATTTAAGTATAGAATTATAATTTAAGTATAGAATTATAATTTAGCATATTAATAATGAATAGTAACCTTGCAACGAAATTCAGTAGCAATAATGGAACATTGTAACATTATTGGAACACGACATTATTGGAACCCGGGTTGGGAGCTCAAGGTTTCGTGGCGCGAGGCGCGTCCTTCTAAATTCTATAAAGAATAGTTTAGAACTGGTACAGAAAAGGCGTTATTATTGACATACTTTATAGAAACTCCCTGGTTATGTAGAACATTTTGAGCAGCCTTAAGCATAACTTATAAACTACTAGAGGAATTTTTGTAAAAACAATTTATGGAAGTTTTAGTCAGTTGGTTTATAACGTTTGTGGAGGTAGTTACAAATGCTGATCAAATACAAATGTAGATACTGATCTCAATTTCAGTATTATTGCAAAGGGCATACAATAAACTGAAAGCCCCGTGGCCTGGTAGGCAACGGACACTTTTCCGTGATTCGATCCTCAAACAGGGCCGGAAAAACATTGGGCGTGTTTCCTTTTTTAATAATAATAATAATCTTTATTTTACTACAAGTACATGTACATGGTATACAGTCCTAGCTGACAACAATGACATACTACTACATAGAAAGCCACTTGTTATGCTGAGCATCTCGGGCAAATTAGGTCAGTGTCCCAGGATGCGACCCACACCAGTCGACTAACACCCAGGTACCCATTTTACTGATGGGGAACATAGACAACAGGTGGAAAGAAACGCGCCCAATGTTTCTACTCTGGCTGGGAATCGAACCCAGGCCCTCGCCGTGTGAAGCGAGAGCGTTAACCAAGTAAGTAGGTACCTGGGTTGTGGAAAATTACATTTATCTGTATGTAACTCATAATGTACATACCAGTAAATAACAAAGAATTATTATTTATCAGAGTTACATAGACAAGTAGGAATTTGGGACACCTAGGTCACAAAAATGTCCCCCTTCGATACCTACCACTGTCATATCCACAAGTTGCTCTAGACCTATTAATTACAAATGAAATACACATCACCAGGAATTCTGGTAAATATATAAATTTGTGGACTGTATATTAAATTAATAAAGGATTATATATATACACATATGCATAACAGAAGGAGAATATATCTTAATATCACTCACCAATTTGACTGGAGATCAAGGTGTATTATACTCAGAAAACCTTTCTTTTCTATACATGAAAAATAAAAACAGGGCCAGAGTTAAACATTAACAGACTTATCTGAGGTTCCTGGAGCTGTCTTGTCCAGTCGCCTGATATCTAATGTTATGCAGGAATGCACATCCAACAATTTTTGGCTCCTATTTGAGAGGTGTCAGCCCAATTTTACCTCTAGAGCATGAAAAATTCTTCCCATTATCGCTAACGTTTTCTCGGCTCATTCAAAACACAAAAGGCGAGTCCGCTCTGCGCAGGCGCAGGGTTTCCCATTTTCGATAACATAATTTTTATTATATACAATATAGGCCATCTATTTACCTATAAATTACCGTATTTCCGGAAAATATGCAGTATTTTCCACACTGCGGAGTTCGTTGCTAAACAACTCAAATTACACCTTCCTTTAGGAGACGATTCCAGCCGGCTCTGGCTTGAGTAGCTGTTCTCCTAGTAGGTCTTATTACGATTTCCTCTTCCTGCATCACTTGGTCAGTGTTGCCTTCCGTATCACTCATGTCACTTTCCCTTAGATTTTCATTTACATTTGATTGAATGTCATTTAATTCCAAGGGAATCAATTTATTAATTGTGCGTAAACTTTCCTGGCCACAACACAACACTTTGACATTCCGGACAACACCTTGTGCATCTGGGTACAATGTCAATACTTTGCCCAGAGGCCTCAATGTTCGATGTTGTTCAGTGTCAATTAACACAATGTCACCTGGTTGAATGGTCTGTCCAGGGCCGGATTAAGAAGTCTCCGGGCCCTAGGCTATTCAGATTGGCGGGGCCCCTTTGAGTTACGGGTAAGCGAAGCGACCCCTCCCAGCATGGGGGTGGGGGGAGGTCGGTGTGAGCCTGTTTAAGGTCTAATTAAATACATTCTAGCTATTTAGATTAAATTTAATAGGGAAAGTACATCAAGACAACCAAAACCATTTACCAACAGTCATTATAACTATCTTGTTAAATCATGCATTTTAAAGAGAATAAACTCAAGACAGCATAGTATTACTAGATTAGGCTATTAAAGTAGTGACATCATGTACCTATTATATTCAGATAACCACTTTCAGCACTATTATTCCTTTTAAATCACTGACCATTATTGTTATCATTGATCT